TGACCTCAGCACAACAGACATTTAGGGCTAGGTAATTCTTTGTTGCGTGGTCTGTCATGTGATGAGTTCTCTTTTCCTGCACCCATTCAATGGCCAGTAGTGCCTATCTCCTGTTTTCCTCTGAGAATCAAGGTTTTTGTGGTAAGTGTTCTGTTAAAGGCTAAAGTTGCCAACTCAAAAATGCATACTGGCTGGGAGTGGTAGCTCATGCCTGTAATCCCAAAGCTTTGTGAGGATCACTTGCGTCCAGGTCCAGGAGTTTAAGACCAGCCTGGGCACCATAGCAAGACCCCCATCATCTTCTGAGAAAAAGTTAGCCAGGTGTAGTCCCACCTACTGGGGAGGCTGAGGTAAAAGAATCTCTGAGCCCATGAGTTATAATGCACTGCACTTCAGCCTGGACAGCAGCAAGGCCCTGGTTCAAAAAAAAAAAAATGCATCCTGAGTCTCTGGGTGGTTTCAGTGGAAGGTTTGCTGTCTGTTGTACAACTCTTGGGAGAATCTTAATGTCGATTCAAGATGGATCCCTGTAATGGAATGATAACTTATTTGTACTGTTAACACTAAGAGACAGTTTGGTTTCAAGCAGGATTTGGGTAGCGTATCTTTGGAGCTCAATTCAGGGAGAGGTGGTTCACTTGATAACACTCTTAGTATGGCATACACTTTAATCAGTGATGTGTAAGTAAGTAAGTGACAATTCCCTTTTACTATATTGCCAGTCTTTCCTTTCAAGGATTTCTAGTGGGAGAAGTCCTTAAGTAAGATTTCCTATTTATGTAGCACTTTTGACAATTTGTTCCAGTGTATAAATACATGTAGAACAACTTAGATACGTTTTGGTGAGTAGTAGTGCATTTCTACCTTCAATAAAGCAACATGTTGAGTTATTTACATTTTTAATGTAACTTTAAAATCCTGGATCCCAAGAAGTCTTGGCTTGTCTGTACTTTTCTTCATAACAAACAATTATATCTCCTACTTTAAATTCTATATTTTCTTCATCTAAACTGAGACCACAATCCATTCCAGTTTTGACAATTGAAATGTCATCTTTATGGTGTTTCAGTGAGGTTAATAAGCCTTAAAAAAAATAATTTAAGGTTAGTATATTCAATAAATGACAAGTACCTACTAAACATTACATTGTATGGTGTTACCAGAAAATTACTCTGAAATTCTTAATTTTATGTTCCCCCCATGTTAAATGATGGGACTAAACACCAGGGGAACCCCCTCAAATATCTTAAATCTATTTCAAAGGTAGATGCCAACTTTTTTCTGAGGACAGGATGATACTCAGGACTTGAATGGGTAAAACCAACATAAACATCTCAGGCAAAGTGAGCCCATCAACTGTAGACAAGTTAGGAGTTACAGCAATAAGTGGCCCGAGCTGAGATGGGCATGAAAGATGAACAGATTTCAGACGATTATATGGTCAACAGGTTTTGGTGACTGGATATACTATTATAGAAGGAGATTTTGATGTTGCTTACCCTTCCAAATTACATGTCCATTACGGATTAATTTAAAATTTTTTTGTTTTTCTAACTGTCCTTTTTGGACTCTGCAGCCAGCCACAGGAACTTTTTTCTTCCCTTCTGTTACAGAGAAAATAGCTAGTATAGACGCCTCACCTTTAGGAATAAGAAAACATTAATGTGCAGAAAACTAAAGAGTCTGAGAAATGTGCAATTTCT